CCATTGACAGTCACTCCTTACCCCCTATCCCTTAACTCCTTGCTAAACAACTAACCCATACAACATAGAAAGTTAAAATATAAATGGCTGCATATAAAGCCTAACTAACTGGCATATGGTACACATACTGCAAGCACAATTACAAGTGAGTATGAAAATGGCAGCATGTTTTCGCAAATAGTTAGGGAAAGTATATTGACCATAGCCAAATGTACAATGATACTAAACTGTAAGAATGAAGCTTGCCATGCTGAGAACTGTTATTCCTACTCCTCTGAGTGCCATGTTTTAGAGACAAAATTCTCCAGCTCCACTGATAAGCATTAATTCTTTGTGCAGAGTTGCCAGTTATATGATCAATGCTTATTTGTACTTATTTATCTAATAACTAATATAAGTATTAAGTAGAATTAGGGGTGGTGCAGAAGTCAAGAAAGAAAAGTTCCTTTTTCTAAAGCTCATTGTGTGACAGAACAGAAAACACACAAGTAAACATTAACAGAAAGCAAGGCAAACCACATACACATAGCATATGTGATGGAGAATAGTTACAGAGTAGATAACCTGGATGAACTGCCCAGGGAAGGATTCTTTGATGAATCAACATTACTATCGAGACCTGAACAATATACATGAGCCAATTATTTGTTAAAGGTTTCATCGAGTAGTCTCTAACATACAGCAAAGATAAATCACCTAATTTCTGCTATAATTGAACATTTCTTCTGCAAAATGTGTTTGGATTTTTGTAACTCAAATTTCATTTCAGTAATGACTTACGTTTTGTTCTAGTTTGATTTCTGTTGATATGAGAAAATACTCTGACCAACAGTGACATGGGGACAGGGAAGTTTAGCAGGAACTTGAAGAAGAAATGCTGCTTGTAGGCTCATGCTAAGGAGTTACTCGAATATGGATATGACTGCCCACAGTGGACTGGGACAACATATCATTTGGCATTTAAAACAAGTTCCAACAGACAATTTCTTTCACTTACCCTTAAAATACTCATTACAATATTACGTACAGAATTTTGTGTAATAATTTTTATTCTAGTGTCAGAGAAACAAAATGTTTCCTTTTTATAGGGATGGCAAATGCTTCCATTGCCAGGAGCTCTAATTTTATCAAGTAGCCATGATTCTGGATCCAGTTTTCGTCAACAATTATGATAAAAATCATCCACTCAGTAAACATTTTATGGGTTATTGGTACATACATATCATTAGAGATACAAATGTAATTATGACACAGGTTCTGTTCTCAAAGGCTTGTAGTCATGAAGGAGACAGTAAAATCACAAATGATAATCACTATACAGAGACAAATTAATCATAATAAAATTTATGAAGAATGGAATGTCTGTTGAGAATAAACAATGGAAGCAAAACTAAGATGAATAGAAAAGATTAAGGAGAAAAAAAGTATTTAAAAAAGGAAGAGGCAATCAGAACTTTTTAAGAGGAAATATTTGGCAATTTCTTAAAGGCAAAAATTACCATAAATATATAGAGATGAAATCACCCCATAAAGTAATGGTTCTTAACCTATGGGTCACAACCCCTCTGGAGTTCCAATGCCAGATATCATGTACACCATATATTTACATTGTGACTCATAACTAGCAAAATTACAAGATGAATTTATGGATGGGGGTCAGCACAACATGAGGAACTGTACTAAAGGGTCATAGCATTAGGAATGTTGAGGACCATTGCCATGGTCTCCTTGACATGTTAAGGAGGTTGTACTACCTTCAGGGGATGCAATTCATGTTCAAGTTCTAAAAAAGTGTGGCGTTATCAGTCTTGGGTTCTGTGAAATTCAACATCGCAGTTCGATTACAAGTAACATTTGAACTGCCAATGAAAAGCCCAAGAAAAAGTTGTTACTGCACTTAAATCTTGAGGCAAACGATGCCACGAACTTGAAAACACAGCATTTCAATGGATTTTAAAAAATGGTGACAACCTGTTGATAAATTGATTGTAAGAAGTAACCCAATGGGAAGTTGGTGGTGACCCAGATAAAAGTGAATATTGTATTCTTGCCCACTGAAGTTCAATACAAATCATGATGTGACAAGAGAGAGAAGAGCAGACAGAGAATTGTATACAGAGAATCTCACCATTTTACAACACATTGAGTGACAATGGACTGTGACACACAGGGCAAAAGTACATTTTATACTTATTCTGTTAGCCTATTGCAGTGTTTTATGAAATCTTACACTGTGCTTCTAACTTTCTCTGGCCTTTGTGTAATAAGGTCTGAGTTGTAGCCTACCTCTTAACTTTTTCTTTTCTCTGTCACTGTTTCTTGGAGTGCCAATGCATCTCTCCTGACCTGGAAGGAATTTCCTGAGACCCTTAGGAACCCCTGAGCTAATTGGGAGCATGAGTGTAGGGGAGAGGGAGATGCCAGAATGAGAGGAGAAGAACAGGAGAGGAGAGGAGGAAATAGAGTAGCAGAAATATTGAGTTGAGGGAAGAATAGAGGAGAGCAGGATGAGAGATAACATATTAGAGGGAGCCACTATAGGTCTGAGGAGAGATCTGGCACTAGGGAGATTTCCAGAGACCTACAAGGATAACACAAACTGACAATCCAGGCAATGGTGGAGAGGATAACCTAAACTTCCTTCTCCTATGATAATGATGACTACTTTTTAAACCATCCTAGAGCCCTCATTCAGTCTCTGCACTCTATGGGGCCCCTGGTAGCAGATTAGTATTTTCCCCTGGTGTGAGAAGGGATTTTGAGAGCCCATTCCATGTGAAGGGATGCACTCTTGGCCTGGACATATGGGGAAGGGCCTAGGCCCAGACCAGGATGATGTGGTAGACTTCGGGGAGCCCCCATTGAGGGCCCTACCTTGCCTGGGGAGTGGAGGGTGGATGGGGAGGGGGTGGTGGCGGAGGGGCAGGGGTGAGGGGAGGGAGAGGGAGAAGGGATTGATATGTGAAACAAGCTTGTTCCTAATTTGAACTAATAAAAAAAAAGAAAAAAGAAAACCTTAAACTCATTCAATTGTCTTGAAATTTGAATATGAAAAGAAGCAAAAAGAATGTATTCCAGCAAACAAGGACAATTGACAGTTTAGGAAATACAATAAATGAAATATTTTTCTTAAATTGTAAAAAAAATAAAATATATTTGAGTTACATTCTATAAAACCCAAGGAGTTATACATTCTAACAATATTGAGAAGAAAAAAACAAGTTATAACAATATAATATCTGATATTTCTTTTATTTTTAGAACTTTTCACACATTTTGTAACTTTTCACAATACAAATAAGTTTTAAATGATGTGACAGCTCAGTTTAGAGACAGCTATAAAAGAGAAAATTTGAGGTGCAAATGTCTGTGTTACGTAATTTATGTTAAATGTGTGAAGAATTTTAAGAAAGAAAAAACCTAACATATAAACCAAAGGAACCTAGTGGTTAAAGAAATTTCAAGGCAAATGAGGACAAAAAAATAAAAACAATAGAAAAGTAGTACACATAGACTACAAAGTACTCTTGGGTTCATGAAAAAGAAATACTAGATTCAGTCTTGTATCAAAAAAGGAAGTGATAAAATATTGCTTGAACTAGAATCTCAAAAGATGAGAGTCATTTCTGGAAAATATGCCATGTAGAGAAAGAAATTATTATCGTGTTGTTATTGCAAGACAGCAAATTGTCCACCTTGGCTGCAGATCACTTTGGAAAGTGGTACCAGAAATGAAAACAGTAGAGGCAGTTGGAATTGGAGTGCAAAAAGACTGGATTCATAACGTCACAACCAATTCTTTTCTGAGCAGAGAAATGATAGCTCATGTCCACAAGAGATTAGTCAGTCTCTTTTGTGTTAAGAGTAATAAAGAGAAGGTAGACTCAAGCCTAGAGAAAACTAACAAGTGAAAATTTCAGGAGGTGGCAGTGGGGCAGTGTGGAAGGCATGCACATGAGACACATTAGGAATGTTAATCAGAGATAGGATGTGTAGAGCAGGAGTTGAAAAAAAAAGATCTAAAATCGAAACTCAATTTTTACATCCAAAGTGACCTGAAAGAATAACTAAACATTTCAGAAAGGTTTCAAGAGTTGAGTGTTTTACAGATGGAGGATAATGACTTCATTACATAACTTACATGGTGCCAGGGGACATCATAAAGCTTTTAAGAAAAATGAAGTTTATGAGAAGAATTTGAATTAAAATGCCTACACTAAAAATGTGTTCTAAGATAAATGAAAGAAAAAAAGTTCAGAGACAGGGAATGAAACCCCAATGCTTCAGTATAAAGTTATCGATGTAACAAAGCACTCTCAACAGTGCAGAGGAAGCTTCATTACTAAAAGGGCTTTGATAACTGTCAGGGGCTATGCATTGTGGTAAATACGAAGTGATATAACCATTGCACAGCAAATTTATAAGAGATTTGGTGATAAGAGAGTGGAGAGCAAAGCATTGCTGGAAGAAGGAATAAAGTGATTTCATTTTGGGTTTAGGTGTGAAGTGACTGGTAGCAGAGGGGAGGGTTTGGAGAAGCGTGAGAAGAGAGTGCATGGCAAAGAGTGCACTGTTGGTGTTGCAACATATCTTCCTGAGACACCAAGAGTTGAGTTACTGGAAGCAGGCTACTATCTCCTGACCAGGGTGCCAAGGATGAGCAGAGAAAATGTATGAAAGCAGGGAAAACTGTCAAAAATTAAAACCTAAATATATAATGGAATACTGGGAACATGGGGACAACAAAGCTGCAGCATGTACTTACAACAGCCAAGAATACATCAAATGGAATAAGAGTCATAAAGTAATGACTCTCTGATATTCCTTTGGGAATAGATGTCTCGGGCAAGAAACAAAAAGATGAATAAAGGCAACAGTTGATTAACATGTAGTTCTGAATATTCTTTTGAGTAAGTTACAAGAAAGACTAAAGGGCTGTATAGAAGGATAGAAATAAATGATGACAATATGTCACAAAGATCAAGGACAGTAAATCTTACCTCTCTCAGAGGATCATTAAGTTCATTGAGGATATTTTCCTCATCAAAGATCTTGCCTTGGTATCGGTGTTCATAGTAGTCATGTATCTTCTGACGCATATCAGCTGGTAATTTATGGAATGACATGTATTGTTCCACTTGCTTATACTATAAACAAAGAAAAAATAGAAAACAACATTAGACCATGGTAGAAATCATCCTATATGTTGCTGCACCATATTCAATAACACTTGAGTACTCTGTAACAAAAAGAGGAAATCCTTGCTGAGGCAGGAAGTAGAGCATCAAGGTCTAATGTACTTATGGGTGTCATACTGTAGAAAGCACTTTATGTGGGTGACCAAATCCTGAGAAGAATGAGATGTGGAGAAAGGGCATGACAGGAGCTCAGGGTGACTTTAGAACTGTAGCTCTGAAACAGTTTTCTGGGGCCAGAATAAAAATTGGTGGGGTGGGCACTATGCTTTACTAGTCGAGTTCTACAAGAACTCTACATTCTCAGCTCTTCCTTTGAAAGTGGAATCTGCACTCCAGGGAGCCTCTGGTCGTGGATTAGTGTTTTTCCCTGGTGCAAGAAGGGACTTTGAGAGCCCATCCCACGTGAAGGGTTACACTCTGGCCCTGGACACATGGGGAAGGGCCCAGGACCAGCACAGGAAGATTTGGTGGACTTTGCAGAGCCTCCTTTGAGGGCCCTACCCTGCCTTGGGAGTGGTGGGTGGATGGGGTGGGAGGTAGGCTGGGGGTGGGGGAGGAGGGTTGGGGGTGAGGGGATGGAGAGGGAGAAGGGACTTGAAACAAGCTTGTTCCCTAACTAGAACTAATAAATAAATTAAAAAAAAGAAAGAAAGTGGAATCTCATAACTTTTCCTAGCACAGAGGGTTGTATCTTAAACCTCTGGCTAAGATCTGAACCTTAGTTAAAATTCAATCTAGAGGCAAAGAAATGGAAAGCACTTTGAAGACCATAGATTTTTAAGTGACAAAGATGGCTGGGGGAGAATATCAGCAGACTAGTTCTATAGAATTTCTACAGGCAGAGACTAACTGAGATAGTCTACTTCATTTAAGCAACTAATTTTAAAAGTTGATTGATTATAAGACCCAGAGAGGGAATGACTTGGGGAAAGGCTGATGATTAGTTGTAATCCTAGAGATGGCTTCACTGAAGGGTCTTTTATATTTGCATAAACACATACACAAAAGTTTGCTAAAACAACTACTCAGCTCATCAACTGGAGCATAACAACACAGATATTTTGTCTAAGACACTGTTGGAAGAGAAGAAAATTAAAAATAGTTACTCTGTGGATCATATATACATTAAACTTTGGGAGGCATTCTCTTATCACTAATGAACATATTCAAAAATGCTATACTTTTTAAATTATATCTATGTATCTATATTCTCAGTATATATTCTCTCTCTCTTTATATATATATATATATATATATATATATTTTTTATCTATCCTTCTTTCTACCTATCATCTATCTATATCTTCTATCTATATCTATTTATCTATCTATGTCTCTATCTCTCCATCTATATTTATCTATTGAGACAGGGTCACAGCTGTCCTGACTGGATTTGACTTGCCTTATTTCGAACTCACAGATATCTACCTCCTTCTGTCTCTCTCAAGTGCTCAGATTAATAGCATATTCCACCATACATGACTCAAAGCACTGAATTAATTTTATTATAGTGAAGATAGAATCAATATACAATAAAAATTTAGATTTTTAAATAGGGTAATGTTACTGAAATTATTCTATTAAATAAAATACAAATGACCTATTTCCTTTTTTAAATTTAATTTAGAAACAATCTTATTTTACATATCAATCCCAGTTCCCTCTCCCTCCCATCCTCCTTTGCCCCCCACTGATCCCCCCATCCCATGCCAATCCACTCCCTAGGCCTTCTATGGGGGATCATCAATGTCTGTCATATCATTTGAGGAAAGGCCTAGGCCCTCTCCCATGTATCTAGGTTGAGAGAGTAGCCCTCCATGGGGAATGGGCTCCCAAAGTCCATTTGTACACTAGAGATAAATACTAGTTCCACTGTCAGAGGTCCCATAGACTTCCCAGGCCTCCAAACTGACACCCACAGTCAGAATGCTTGAATTGTCCAGTTTTACAACTGGGGTCCATGTGCTCCCACTTAGTTGGGCCAGCTTTCCATCTTTTTCTGATAGTGTAGTCCTGACTAAAAGGTCTATTTCTTTTTATTCTGTGTACATAGTTACTGAACCTGTGATTGGTGATTGATGGCAAGTGTCACTAACTGAGAAATTTTAAGTATCAAGTCACTGCAGTTTTTCAGTATTTTCCTACATACAACAGGAAATTCTTCTATAGTTTATCCAGAGATTCATTTTTATAAACTATTACCCTGAACTGAAATACCACTTTGTCACAGAAATATCTTCATTCCATAGCTACACCATTTCTCACTTAAAAAAATATAAGAAGCCTGTTTGAAGTGTTTGAAGCCTAGAAACCTTCATGCCTGCATCCAACCTTTGAATCAACATGTCATAACATTTTGATACTATGCATCAACTCTTCACTGCCATTGGGTATAAATGACTAATAGTTGAGGAAAATACTAATTAAATTTCAATGGAGAATTCAAACGTTTATATGCTTTGATAGCTTTCCTCAGATGATTTGGGATTCATTCTGCATCATCTCCCATGCCGCTGGGGCACAGCAATCTCGGTGACTTCTCTATCAGACTCTTATGAAAGGTCATGTAGGTAGGCAGCTAGATTAGGCATGTGTCTTTATTTCTGGAAATTTCCTTTGACAAAAAAAAGAGATAAATGGGATATAAGACACGATGCTTAGGTTCTGGAATTCTGTTGGGATAATCTTGATTTTAGCTTCTTTACAGAAAATGCAAACCTAGCCCCAACTGATGGCCCTTTGGCAGTTAAGCCAGACAGTCAACATGCCTCAGTTATCAAAAGTAACAGGAAAACTTATGCTGTGCAGTCCAGTGAGTCCTGAAAATATCCAACATTAGGAATAAAATAACTAAAGGGTTGGCTTCCAAGACTGAGGACTCTCACACTCACTAGTATGCTCTCCCAGATATGTGATTAGTGCTGCCCCAATAATGGTTTCATTCTTTCTTTAGTCACCTCTACTTTCATTCCATAATGCACTGGTGCCCAACTGCTCAGAAGATTGGCACTGTAACCTTGAAACATATGACACATTATGTGTCTTATTCATGGCAATGCATCCCAGGCATGCAAAATGCAGCATGAAAAAGTAGTATTTCTTTACTTGGCGAAGAAAATCAATGCTTATATGTGAGACCTACATGTGTAAGAAAAATATCTGCTTTGCCCATTTATGGAATGGAAAATTGTCACTTAGCTAAAAGCGAGCATTATGCATTAGATATTTTATTTTGTAAAAATGTCTTAGTTGAATATAATAACATTACTTCTCAAACATCTTTTTTTCTGTAATTGAGATTATTATTAACTTAAGATGTTATTCAGTGAATGATTTCTTGTTATTTTATTGATCCAACATTCTATTGATATTTATGGTAGCTTACTCATATTGTGTTAAGTTTGATGTTATAATGCGTATTACTTACTTTAATAATTGACTTTGCCCAGTAATTATTTATCTAACAATTGTGAAATGATTTATCTGGAAAACTGTGTGTGTGTGTGTGTGTGTGTGTGTGTGTGCGTGTGTGTGTGTGAATGAATTCACACACACACACGCACACACACACTATTGTGAATGCCAGGATGTCCAGTCTCTACCTCTATTGCTCTCCAACTTACAACCTTAAGGCAGGGTCTCTCTTTGAATGAGAGCTTTTCATTTTAGGTAGTCTTGCTGATCAGTGAGCCCTCTGTATCTATCTGTCTCTCTCCCCAATGCTGGGATTAGAGCATATGCTTGGATTGTTATACCAAATCTATTGATTCAAACTCGTCTACATGCTAGTACAGTAAATGCTCTGACCCAATGATCTATCTCTATAGTATTAGATCAATTGTAAAAACATCATGCAACACCACTAGCAATTAGAAATATGGATTTGTAGCCTCTACCCAGATCTCCTGAATCAGAAGTCTACATTTAGGACACAGTAGTTAGAAGCTTAAAAACACTACATTTCCAAGTCCTTTCTTTGTGTCAAGTACTGGGTTATCTTAGGACATGAGGAAGCATATCTGAGTGCAAGCAGGGGAAAAATAAATTCAGTTTTTGGAAAGCTAAGTTTAAGTGGCTTATGGCACATGGCCATGCTTATATGTAGGTCAGGCACTCAGAGAAGGAAATACACACGTCATTGGTGACTAAGATACCAAGGGATGATGTGTCAACTGAGGAGAATGCTGGCAAAGAGCAGAAGTGGCATTTTAAAAGCATCTGAGATAGGGAAGTAGTTCTAGTTAAAGGTATGGATAATAACTATTTATGTTTAAGAGGAGAAAAAAATCATAAGTAACAGAACCCAGAGTTTAAATAGAGAATGGTCAATAATTAGACAGGCAAAGAAAGGAGGTGTAGGACAGTGGGGATGAGCATAGAAATTAGGCAGCCATCTTTGATACAATATAACACTTGTAAGAGGCAGGAGATCACTTTGGCTGTTTCTCCCACACATTACAAAATTTGCCAAAATACATGGAAATATCACTGGCATGTTGGGTGGCCAACCAAAATCACTCTTTGAAGAAGACATGTAGTGGTATTTGGAGAATGAAATAAACCAAATGCAAGAAGTTTTACACAGGCTCACCAATTTAAAAAATCGCTATCAACATTTACGTTAGTTGTAGCTGTATAACATTTTTGAATCTTAGTGTCAGATAATAAGAGCATTATTATGAATGGTAGTAGTCCATCCTCAACTATCATAGTCTTCTTTCATGTTTAGAGATGTTTTACACAATATTTGTTTCTATTTCTTATATGGATCAACATCAGGCATTGTCTATTGGTTTATTGCCATAAAATAGCATTTTTCCAACTTCCATGTCTGAAATCTTCCCTTAAACTCTATAATTATGACAATACTGTTTAATTCTTCCATTGATCTCTTCTGTAAAATTACATAATAATCTACCTTCATTTACTCCTTAAAAGAACTGTAATTA